ACCACCATTGAGTCCAAAATGGACAAATCGTCCATTCGGTTCAGTGAAAATATTTACTCTTTATCGATTGCTGCATCTATAACACAATTTTCAAACATGTGCATCATTTCGTTGTGTTTCAAATTATTATTTTGTCAAACACCTTGTCTTCCCTAGCACTGTTTGTTAAAACCTACTGGAAGTGTTTCCCGGTCGGTTCATTGGTACGTCATTCTCACCAAGTCTCTCTTTCTGCAACCTTGGGATATCGCGTGTTTTCTAAATGTACTTTTAGACATCGTCAGAAATCATGAGTTTCATTGATATATAATGACTTTGCATTGCAAGACCCGCATCCTTTCCAAGTCTCTTCACTATACTGTCACAGTTCATGCATCTGCTCTAATGTGCACACTTCTGATTTCTATTTATAAATACTTTGTTATGAGGTTGCATTTGCCGCCCCAGGAGTATATTGTAGGACTAACGCGTGTGTGATGACAATCCTCTGAAATCTTTCTGACTTTTCTAGATAATCGCTTATAGTTTAGTTCTCTTCTCAGAGGTGAAGCGGTTACTTGTTTAACCGTTTGAACACTTATTGATGGAAGATTTGTAAAAGGTTTGTTAATCGTTCTTTTTTTTCACTAGTTTTTCAATGTTTTAGTTTTGTTTCTGTGCAGCTAAATATAAGAGGTACGTACTTACAATTGATGTTTTGTTAGACAAAGCATCTAAAACACTGACGAATTCAACAGTTGCATTTTAACTCGGATTGATTTTTGTTATTTCGTTTTCGTATTTAGCTAATATATGTGACTGATAAAACCAATTCAAATTGATCTTCATAAAAGATATATATTTATATTCAGACATTAGACAGGCGAAACTGCTAGAAATATGTTATCATTATTGGAACGAAAAATGTCATTCTTGGGGTCTTGTAATCTATTGTTTATAAAACGTGTACTTTTATAAGCTTTGTTGTTTTGTTTGTTTGTGTGTGGTTTAACGTCCTTGCAACAGCCTGGGTCACGTGAGAACGGGTGCCTAGCTAGGACACCGTCTGAAACAGATAGTAGAAAGAAAAGAAAAACGGAAGGAACGATAGGAAACGAATATAAGCTCTGCGGTATCGGTAATATAATATGGTTTACCTGTAAACATCTGTTTTGCAAACGTTAAATTATGTTCACTGTCTTAGTCTCTGATAAGAAGACACATCGATAGCATTATAGGGCGGATAGGAAGTAACCGTATGCGATATTATATAAATAGAAATATAATATCCCCAGTAAAACTAGTGCGTCAGCTGTTTTGTAAAGTCAGTGCTAGGCCCTACAGACTCTAATGAAGACGGGTGTAACATGATATATCAATGATAAATATTAAACCTGATATGATTTTCTATTCTTGTAACTGTCGATTGTTGTAGCCATATAAATGGTAGGTTTAATACATAAGACAACACTACATTAACGTTGATAACGAAACCCTGATAAATTCCTCAGCTGCCGCCAGGAATTAATTTCTGGACAAATTGGTATGGGATTGTGATTTTCTAAAATAATATGTTATCTACCATAATTAAAGTGACATAATATCTACATAACCAGGGAGTTGACAAGAAGTATGTATTAAAATAGCAATCACGGTGAATATGATACGAAAACTCCCTATTGGTCAAAATAAACTCTCGATACCACATTTAAAAAACAAATTCATTACTTTATATATAATGGAATAATGTTGCTCTACTGACTCTGCCATAGTGGTCCCTTATTGCCACGAGTTTAAATGATTGAAATAAAGTATTCCTGTCCCACTTAAGTGAAACATATTTGGTGGGTTTGAATTTCGAAACTCAACAGTGGATGGCCTTCTGTGATACAATGGACTTTTTGACCTGTATCTGTCGGGTGCGATAACTTAATCCCATCATATGTTNTTTGTATGTGTTTGTATGTGTTCTAATGTCTATGTCTATGCTTGTATCACTGTTTATTACTGTGTTTGGAGAAGGCATTCTAATGGTGTGTTGTACATCGTTTTGGATATGTCTGTGGTACGGCTGGACTACTTAGGTCGTTACTGTTGACAGAGTTACCCAGTTGGTTAGAGTGACATTATATTTTCCTTTAAGCTGACATATCGTTCACTAAAAACATAACCTAATTGTTAAACATTTGTAAATGTGTCAAATTGATCGGTCATATTTAGAGTGGTTTACAAGGAACCTCCACTTTTGCTAAAAACAATCCGTTCAGTGATGAACTCCTCTCCGACATAACAGTTGTTAGCGAAAGTGACATTATCAAACTTAAAAAAGAGAAAACTGCATTATGCATTAAAAGGAACATTTGCAAGATTTATTATTGAATTTTATTTTTCTAAATTTCTCGTATCGATCATATTGCAAAAGCAAATTCAACGGCGTCCTATGAGAATTTGACCCCATTATATTTATTCTCAGGGTCATCAGAAGGTCACCGATTTCTAAATGCTAAGTTTGTAATAAGCATAAATTGCAAATGACAACTTCCGGTAGTGAATTTAAATTGATTTTTTTTTTATTTCATAGTTTTTGGGATACTTTTATTATGAAATGTGTCATATCGTTGTGTTTATGTGCCTCTATTTAATAGTAAAATGATCCTCGCAAAGACTTTAGATGTTGCTTTAGGCAATGAAGTTAAGTGACTTGTTTTAGAGAAGGTAGCACTCACCTTTAAAATTTGCGTGGATTTGAAATAACACTTCTGGATATAAACATCTTAATGCCTGGAATGAATGACTTAACAGAAACATACTTAGCTGATATCGGATACCATTGTTCTCGTGTACATTGTAATCCTCCTGACTTAAAGGTAAGACGTTCGCTCAAATAAATAGCTGTATGACCTGAATAGTGAAGTGATAAAACGGTTATTGAATGTCCGGTGTTTGATAAGTCTGTATATCAACCTCACAGCGGCTACATGTTTAATGCACTCTCGGTCCGATGATTACATATTCATTTATACTAGTATCAATCTTACAAGGAGTTGATAATTTATTCTACAAAGCCTCGCAAGTTAAACCAAATATCTTAGTCACTTTGTCATATCTTATTACGAACATATATGAGCGAACAACAGGAGGTGAAATGAAGCATTCTGTTTTATTACAAAACAAATAAGATACGACTCATGTATTACAAAATAAAAAGGATAATACTCAATATGTTTACAGCAATCACTTGGATTCTAACATAGATATCAGATCCCGATGTAGACATTTAAGTAATATTTTGGTCATCATTCAGATATGTTATCCTAATATAGACACATATAAGTACGTTTCGGTCCTTATATGAGCATGTTAGTAACTGTCGGACCTGCCATCTATGTCCCTAGTAAGATTTGGCCCCGTGTAAGCTTTGGCCCCGTGTAAGCTTTGGCCCCGTGTAAGCTTCGGCCCCGTGTAAGCTTCGGCCCTATGAAATAAATCCAGTTACATATCCTATAGAAGTTATACATATTTTAATTGCACTCAATTATGATTTTATATCTGTATGAAAGTGTGAGATTAAAATACAGAACGAAAATTTCGACATAAGTCACAGAAATAGATTCTTAATCAACACTTGTTTAATTATTATTGTTAATAATTTGTGAACCGCTTTGAGACGACCTACGAACTAGGTTGTGGTAAAGCGGTATATAAGAACCTCGAATTATTATTATTTACTTATTTATTGTTTCGATTCGTTAAAAATATTTTACACGAGGTTTTACATTTCCCTAATATTATGCACGTTAAAACAAATGTGAGGATATCTCCTCAGGGGGCACTAACGTGTGTACAACTACCCTTTATTATCATGGGAAGCAAATAGGTAACTGATGTCTCTGTTATCAACAACTTAAACATTGGCACACTTAGAGTTTTGACATAGCATTAAAGTGAGAGTCTGTAAATTAAACATGCACCCATGTATTACGGATCAGCCCGCTACTGTATCGTAAACGACAGTCGAGGACATCGTGGTAGCCATGATACAGTACACCTCAGTGGCGGAATTAAACTTTTTAGAGATTAGAAAATCATTTAAGCATTAAACCTTTAAAATAAACAAGTTAAAGACAATCATTATGCTTAACCGTAAGTGGTGGAACGGACGCACTGTGATAGGGAAAAAAATGTCTGTTTTACGGATTTTAGTGCCTTATATATAGATGCTGTTCGATGGGTTCATACCGTCGTTGTCGCTCGATTTGACTTTATACGAAACAAGAAATAATATTGTAACTACTTTGTAACATCATTTCATTACTAGGGGTTTCAATGCGATATATGCCACTCGTAGTAGTGTTGTGTAGGGTAATTTGTACGAACAGACATACGGTAGATCGAGTTAGATGCTGAGTTATGACTCTAGAGGACACTTTGTTGCTTTTGTTTTGTCCATATTTCATGAGGCATGCCAATCAATTCCCATGTATTTGTCTCACTGGTATTGTTTACTGGCGCTAGCTACCGCTATCGTAATCACCAAACGTGCAGATTTTTATTAAATTATAATTACTATACGAAAACGTACCCGATACCCTTTATGATCCTAACTGCAAACATAGAAAACTGTTGACATAACGTGATAGGAATAAGTGTTAAAGGAAGAACAATCTTATAAAATCATATGGAGTTTAGTAAAAAAAAAAACAACTGTGTAGGGTTATGTACCGAACGGTCCGAACACAAACAAGATCGAGATCTCGTAAACATCTATAACATACCAACACGAAGCCAGCTCTAATTGAAATTAACAACGAGCGAAAATACCCATTGTTTTAGTATCTCTTTTGATACTAATTAAACTTCACATTTATCTTTGACGAGCAATTTAGGAAATAACAAAAATGAAGTGATAATCAAGTGCATTTGGTTGCAAATTGAAGCGGTATTGTATGATTGTTATATACTTTGTTAAATCATTTTTCTTATAGACTTTTATATATGTTATTTGTCAGAGCCTTTCTTACCTCGACTCGTCTAATTTGTGAAGAAGCCATCGTATGAATACTCGAACATTCTCCAGACGTTTAGGCTCTAGCGGAAGTTCATCTGATACTGGTAAAAGGACTTTCTGTCTGTACGGCGTTTTTTCCAAGTTTTCCACATCGTAAGCGCCATTGTTTTCAATATCGCTTAAGTCATTTAAATAATTCTTCTGAGAATTTGAAGATGGAATTTCTGAAATGTCTGAATATGATGTTCTCTTTCCAGCAAAATGGAATCCATTACAACCACACAGATTTCCTCCTCTTCCTCGATTGCAGCTAATTTTACAAAATCTTTCCAGAAATTTCCCATTTCCTGCCGCTGCTAAACACGAGAACACAAGTACAAGAAATATTATCTGTTCACCATGTCTGTATTCGTAAGCCATTTTGTTTTAAATACGCTGTCCGGACCTTTAATCCGAAAACTCTATATTGTTATAGAGTACAAGTACTTGAGACGTAAGATTTGTTTGCCGAACTCAGGGCAAACTGTACCGCACACCTGTCAGCTATATGTGTTTTCAAAATTCCTATGCAGGTACCTTGTTTTTTATGGACCTATACAGAGGTGTATTGTCAAATTCCTGTCCTTTGGAGGGCTAATACACCTCTAAGTATAAGTTATCGACCGAAATTAAACTCTTAAATTAGATTTAAATAATATGAAGATAACTGTGTACAAGTTTGTTATCAAAACATGAAAGTAACGCGGGTTTAAATTCCAGCGTATCCACACACGTATTTATAATGCAAGGTAAAGATACATGAGGTACTACGAGATAGGTCCGCTCAAGTCACAGTCCGTAGTCGCACAAACTTCAGTTGTGAAGAACGTCTCCTCAATGGTCCTGCGGAGTAATATGTTGCAGGCATCTACACCTATAGGTATATATATCATCATCCTGTCGCGGATAGGCAGATAGCGCCCATCCTTTTGATGGGGTTTCGGCGAGCTATTTAATGACACAGACAAGCCGCTTCGGTCGTGACATCAGCACTGTAATCCCCCTTTGCTTGTAATAAAGCGCCTCCTAAGATTCATTTTACTAGATCCGCAGTAAATAATTAATTTTAACAATAGAACATATTCAAAAGAAACAAGCTTAATTAAATATATTTCCGGAACGCATATTTGTATTATGCCGGCATGAAGGGTTATAGAATAATGTAATAATTCGTGATCTTGCAAAATACATCAAATTTCCGGAGTAGTGCGGCCGGCAATTATGATGAAGTTTGACGAGAGATAATAAGCCACGCCCTCTAAATTTATGAACTGGGATATGACTCTCTTGGGATGCGCATGCGTTCTGCTTCACAGGCAGTATTGAAATAATATTATTTTTGTCCATTTGAAATAAAGACATACATGTCGGGTAAATTACAGATGTTACAATACGGTTGATGAAATTCGCCCGGGCATTTACATATTGAAGAGATTAAAATCCGACGTGCGAATGTGGATTGATAAACCGTAATGACTCACAGGTGCGAGGTTGGTTACTTCCTGTTAGCTTACACCCCAAAACACGTTAGCGCTTAATGGTTCCCACTGTTAGCAGCTAAACAAGTCGCTAACTTCAGCTAAGACGAAAAATAATTAAAATGTCTAATACACAGTCAAGTTAATGTCCAACAAAATATGTGGTGCTTTCGTCACATACCATATCAATCAAGATGTAGCTCTTGTCTTATACAATGTCAAACAATATAAGTTCGTGTTTTGTACAATGTCAAACAATATAAGCTCGTGTTTTGTACAATGTCAAACAATATGCAGTGCTGTCCATGTCTTATAAAAAGTCAAACAATGTATTGTTCCTGTCTTATACAAAGTCAAACAATGTGTTGTTTCTGTCTCATACAAAGTCAAACAATGTATTGTTTCTGTCTCATACAAAGTCAAACAATGTGTTGTTTCTGTCTTGTACAAAGTCAAACAATTTGTTGTTTCTGTCTTACACAAAGTCAAACAATTTGTTGTTTCTGTCTTGGACAAAGTCAAACAATTTGTTGTTTCTGTCTTACACAAAGTCAAACAATTTGTTGTTTCTGTCTTGGACAAAGTCAAACAATTTGTTGTTTCTGTCTTACACAAAGTCAAACAATTTGTTGTTTCTGTCTTACACAAAGTCAAACAATGTATTGGTTCTGTCTTATACAAAGTCAAACAATGTGTTGTTTCTGTCTTGTACAATGTCAAACAAGGTGTTGTTTCTGTCCTATAAAATGTCAAACAATGTGTTGTTTCTGTCCTAAAAAATGTCAAACAATATACAGTTCTGTTCATGTCTTATAAAACGTCAAACAATGTGTTGTTTCTGTCTTATACAAAGTCAAAAAATGTATTGTTTCTGTCTTCTACAATGTCAAACAATATAAGCTCGTGTTTTGTACAATGTCAATCAATATACAGTGCTGTCCATGTTTTATAAAACGTCAAACAATGTATTGTTTCTGTCTTCTACAATGTCAAACAATATAAGCTCGTGTTTTGTACAATGTCAATCAATATACAGTGCTGTCCATGTCTTATAAAATGTCAAACAATGTGTTGTTTCTGTCCTATAAAATGTCAAACAATATACAGTTCTGTTCATGTCTTATAAAACGTCAAACAATGTGTTGTTTCTGCCTTATACAAAGTCAAAAAGTGTATTGTTTCTGTCTTATACAATGTCAAACAATATCAGTTCGTGTTTAGTATAATGTCAATCATTATACAGTGCTGTCCATGTCTTATAAAACGTCAAACAATGTGTTGTTCCTGTGTTTTACCATGTCAACAAACGTTTAGTTTATGTCTTATACAATGCCAAACAATGTGTTATTTGTCTTATACAGTGCAAAGCAATATGCTTCATTGGTGTAAAATAAATAAATATATTTACGTACTGATAAAAATACTTGAAACCTTCATTATAAGAATTTCAAAAATAATAAAAGCACAGTTTAATTTCAAATTATTAATGAATACTGTATGTATATTATGAACCCTTCCACTATCCAAAGGAGATTAAGTGTGGCTGTTAAGATTATTGCTAACATCGGGGACTACAAAATTCTCTAGCAGAGATTACCTTTTGAAAGCATCAAGGTTGTATACTCTAAATTAGACTCACAAAACATGCTCCGTTTAAACAAAACATGTGTGCTCGAGAACTATGCCTGTCATATATATTCTTGATTACATGGTGAAAGGAAAATTATACGATGTTTATTAATGTAAGTATAAATGTGAGAGTCACTTACAGGTACACACATATCCGAACAGAATACGTCAAGTTAAACAATTTCGCGATTTGTATAATTCTCACACTTGACCCACGTGACAAAGTGTGGGTGTTCACAGCCATTTTTGTTTGTAACAACAAGCATTACATTTCTAGTTGGCCTTTGGCTTTCGATCCCAATAGAAATGAATCAAATTGGATTTCAATTTACCTAATTACACGGCTGCATTTGCTCTGTAGTTCAAGCCTGAACAAAATAATATGCCAGTGAAAGTGCTTTTAATGGAAATGTAACTCACTTTTGTCAGGGCATACAATTCAATCTTTTAAGGAAATGTAACTCACTTTTGTCAGGGCATATAATTCAAACTTATATCATCGTACGATTTTGAGTTGTTATCTTATAATGTTGCTCTTTCTATTTAATCATATACTTATTTATTTATGTATCCATTCTTACAAGGACACCATACAATTGTCTTATTTTTCTAATGGAAGACACGCTAGACTTTGGAACTATTTTAAATATTGTTGTACAGATAATTTGAATAGTAGCGATGCATAAGATCTATGATCTGACATTATCGACATGTGTTTTATGCTTTAAGCACTCCTATTGTACCTGTTTGCCATGTTAGAGTACTAACCTCATGATCATTACCTCATATATTTTACGAGTGACAAGTTCGTGTTGATTTATGATGCAAGCAGTGAATTAACTATACTTATGACAAACAGAACAATTATATACACGGTAATGATGTACCATTAACTATATATAGATATGTTAGTTAGATATACTCACGCTTCTACCCGAATATAGAAAAAGGACCAATCAACGTTAACATTAATGAAGGTTACAGTGAACATTAATATATCATAGATCATCAATACTTATAAATAAGTGCAGTTTTATTTCTTGCTTCCTATTACGATAGAAATGATACCTAGGAACACCTCATTTAACACACCCATTACGTATGATATTCGGTACATTGTAATGGCATCATTAAAGTACACAGTATTTTATTATATCATCATGATAAACATTATGACACCGACGTAAACACTATGCATTATTGAAAGTTTATACTAACGAAATAGTTCCGATATTAAGGGCTTGTTAAAAATAAAAGTAGTAAGATAAAAATATATATCAATGAAGATCATAAAAATGTACTTTACCAATGATGAGTATTTATTAATGTCGCAAAAGTGTGCGATAATTTTCTGGAGTGTCTAAAACATCAATGGTGTACTTTGGAGGTGATTTGAAATACACGAGCAATATTGATTTTGATATATTACACATTATGCTGAATGATAATACTTATAATGATAGACTAGCTTTAAAATTTGATTTGGGTTTGGTATTAACTATTTGTGAACATTTTTAAGGCGTGCTCCCTTAATGCCAACAGAGACAGGTGTTGATTTACGGTCATAGGAGTGTATTGATAAACGGAAATATGAAGTACATCCCTAGTTGAAAATCCAATGTAGGGAGACAGTATCACAATTTCCGCATATTCTAATGTTTAATATTAAATTGATAAATATTGTATGTTTATTATTGACAGAACAGTGTGTTCTCTCAATATTAAAGTATTTTAAAGCAATCCAGGCATTAATTCAGTTTTTTTTTTTTATCAATGACTGAATGAGTCATATGTGTCCATTTTTCTATACTGTAAGTTTTTCAAGAAAGATAACTCTTACATGCAATTACTATGTGTATATATTTTTTTTTATTAAATGTCAATTTTTAATCGTTTATAGATAAATAATTTTACACAATTTCAGCATTTATTAAATTGATATACATTAATGCAATACTAATCTATGTCAGTCTCATTTCTATTTACATTATTTTGCAAAAAAATGTGTCTTTTCATGTCTTTTTTCAAAATTCACTCCTTTTTACATAAATTTCCATTTAAAATCCGTTAAATTCTGACAACCTATATCTTTTTGCGGCAGAAAAAAATCCTCACTTCAAAGCAATATAACTACAACATTTGAAGAAATTCTACTGAAAAATGGTGACACAATCCTATTACCTTAAGAAACAATCGCAAGATGGTTTCAATTCATTTTCATTCGTTGAGTTTCTATTGTAATTTTCCATTTTTAACACTTACAAGCAGTTATATGTTTATTCACTGTTGTTTAAGATAGCAAAATGATTCAGTTCAAGACCAAAACATACAATTCATGTTTTAGCTACATAAAACAATAAATGTTTTTGATACTTCAGAAAAACCATTTTTGCGACTTTCACATTTTAACTTGTACACGCCCTTTTCTTAATTCATCACTGCAAATGTAACCATTCATAACTTGAAACAGTTTTTATACCACATCTTTTGTCGTAAACGTAGGCGAAATTATCGAAATCACATTCATAATTTTGTAGTTTATCTCCTGAACACCAGATATGCTACAAAGCAATTTTCCTTTAGGCCAACACGTAAAAGTCTCCGCCTTAACTACCCACCCTTCTCCTTAACCTCGACTTACGTCAAACGTTATTTATAGAAAATTCATTGATACTAACTGATTTCTTAAGATCACAAACTCGCGACAAAAGTATTTGTCAGGTGTGGTATTACCGTGTTAAGCTAAGGAAGTGATCAAAGAGTCATTTATTTCTCACATGTATGAAGGTGTTACTGTGACGATAACACCTGACAAATGAATGTTTGTTTATCTTTGAGGACAGAATTTAAAACACGAAAGGCTTAATCTAACACATTTGAAGGGGTTAAGATACAGCCACCCTGTGAATAGATTTACATTATGCTGCAATCATCATATATGTGATGATTTACTGGAAACTTGATATACTGATAATATCTCAATCAAAAAACGTTTCTATACATATTATCGTTCACAATG